ATATTAAATAATAAAATATAATACCTAACTGCGCTCCTCCATTCTCTCACCTCCTCCACCTCGCCCACCTGTTCATCCTGTTGGGTTTTTTTCAGTATTTTCCACACTGTTTGTCCATTGTCCTTCAATTTAGCTATTCTAAGCCAAAGCTATTCTTGTTCATTATCTAATACCACGTGTTATACTTGGCTGGACTGCCAGTCCAGCACCAGATGCCATTTATGCGGCTGTTACCACAGCAGTACAATCTAGAACTGCTTCTCCAGTCTCACCAACCCTTCTCCATCAGCCAAGGCTGTTCATGCTGGTCCCAGGAAATTCCTTGCACCTACTTTCCCACCTCACCAAACAATCACCCCAAGAGAGGTAAGTCTGGAACCTAACTCAGTTCAAGTCTTACTTTACTTTGACATTTATCTCATCTCCCTTAATAAACTTTGAGACCTTAAAGACTTTTCTCAAAAACTGGCTCAATCAATGGGCTTATCACATTTTCCTTTTCAAGAAGGAAAAATCAGGGCTGGAGATATGGCTCAGTGGTGAAGAGTACTGACTGCTCTTGCAGAGGACTGAGTTCGAATCCCCACACCCACATGGCAGTCAACAACCATCTGTTACTCCAGTTCCAGGGGGTCTGACACCCTCTTTTGACCTCTGCGGGCACTGCACAACTCAGGTGCACCCACCTACATGCAGGCATTACACTCATACACATAAAATAAAAATAATAAATAAAAAAGAAGAAAAACTCATAAGTAATTTCAATTTTTTACTGGGAGACAGAAACTTATTGTTTGTTGATTTGGATATAAGTATAGAAAATGTCTGAACTGTAATGGTTGATGTAGAGTAAATGGTCAGCTTCAATACTGACACTCCAGGTTACGCCTATAGAGCCTGAAGCCTATATCATCATCTGCCATTGTACTCATTAATAAATAAGGTTATGTTCATTAATAAGTAAAGATACTTCATGACTACATTCAGAAAATATCTAAGAAAAATTAAAAATGAGTTAAAAAGTCATTAACACAAATTTAATTAGCCTTTAGCACAATTGTGCTTTTTTAAACTTAGTGAAAGAGAGAGAATAAGAGATTCCAAATAAAATCCTGTTATCTGTTATGCTTGTTATAGGTTTCCAGAACTGTGCCTACATGAACTGTTAGATCACACAGCCAGCATTGGGGCTGAGGTTGACTTGGGTTGTGGCGTACTCACTTTCATTCACTAGAGATACCTGTATTCATATATACACACACAGAGTCTGAACTATTCCAATAAAATCATCCGCACACTAAAAAATACAGTTAAAGGGTTTTATTTCAAAGCCAAGCAAAACATATCTGGCTAAAATGTAAATGTGTATGGTCTTACAATATCACCAAAACATTAAATATGACCAAGTATGTCTTCCAATTTATACAACACATGACTCAGAAAAAGTCACATAAGGCAGTATTTCCAAGACAAGGGCAATTTTGTCCACCAAGGGGCAATGAGCATCTCTACCTAGAGAAATTTCTGAATGTCACTGTTAGATTACATTATTGACCTACAGTAGCCAGAGGGGCCAAGATTGGTGCTAAACAGACCACAATGCACAGGATTTTTTTGCATGATGCAGAAACATGTGACCCATTTTGTCAACAGTGAAGAACTTCAGAGGATTTGACATATAGTTTAATCCTTGAAGATAAAGTCTAAACCACAATGGCAATAATAGATATATTTCAAGGAAGAATAGTGTCATTTAAAATCTCACTATAATCAGGGGAATTTCACCTTGTCTGATCATCATGGCACAAAATGGTAAGAAGCACATCTACCCTATGACCAAGAATTCAGCATGAGAAATACATAGTACAAAACCATTGACTTTCCAAGAAGGATGTTAGCTTTAATCAATTTTTCAAGTAAATTGTTCATGTTCCCAATATTAATTTCCATAAAGTAGAAAGTGCACGTGAATATGAACACAGAATATTAAATGTACAGATCCTTGGCTTAATCTGGCAAGGGTTTATAATGGTTACTCAACATGGCAGGAGGAGAGGAATAAAACCAGGTGTGAATCGAAGAAAGCACAGAAATCCTCTAAAAGCTCAGAAAGAACAAGAGCTTTTTCAAAAACAAAGAAACTAAGATGTGGTCCAGGTTGATGAGCCATGTATGTCCACTTACATCAGGCTCTGTGAGGCACTAGGAACACCTGGGAACTAGAACCATCAAGGGCTCCCCTGGGATTTTCCTTTTTCTTAACCAAGGAGATCACTAGTAGGACTGGTTCCTTCCTGGCTCAAGTACCATTCAGGCACTGAAGGAACCAAGTCCAGCAGAGCAAATGACTTAGACGAAAGGCTGCTCCTTAATTGTGGCCACACTCATGATCAGACCGAGAAAGGTACTGCTGGTCTCTCTCCTGCTGCTTCCCACACTTCCTCCGCTAGGACCAAGATTCCATGATAATGTTACCAGATTTCACAAATAAAATATATCATATCTAGTTAAGTTCAAATTTCAGACAATGAACAATTTTTGGTAAAAATGTAGCCCGCTCAATATTTTGAGTATACTTATACTAAATATTATTCATTAGTATCTAGAATTTCAATTTAACTAGGTGTCTTGTATTTTATCTGGCAAGCCTACCCTAAAATTTTAGCATCCAAAATGGAAAGTAGAAGGGCAAAGTGATTTTATTTCACATGGTATCTGGGCTTGCCAGAGACAAGTGCCATGATGGCTTTGCTGTAGGCACAGAGAAGTTGAGGACAGAGGTAGGGGGCATCGGTATGTTACAGATATTTGCCTTTCATGTCACTGAGCTGTGAACTGACCATTTCTAATGCATCGAAAACCATCAAGGCTTGCATATTTTACGGATACTTTCTCTTCTTTTCCATTCCCATATCCAAAGAATCCACATCTAAAACCCAAAATTATAAAGAAGACAACTTCATTTTCTGTTCACCAAAAAGTTGTTTTTCTCTTTCATATTTTTTTTTTAAATAGCACCATAAGCTTTGAGAAAGGAGAGTGGGAATGAAATATATCCCAAACAGACAAATTGTTGACCATGGCCTGAGTGCAAGCTATTGCCATGACTGCCAGCAGTTTCCAGAGTCTGAGCCTGTCTTTCTTTACTGGATGGCATCATTAAATAGACTCAAGAAAAACATTTTTAGGCCTCCAAAAAAAAAAAAAAAAAAATCAAAGAAAGAAGAGGCTAATAATAACAATACTAATGTAAAAGTTATTCATACAAGGCTTTAAAGACTATACCTACAGTCATTACAAACATGGCATTTATGAAGTTTGTGTGATTCCAAATAGACATGGTGGCAAAAAAAAAAAAAACCTCCAAACAACCACACAGAGATCTTTAGATTTTGCTTCTTTTCTGTGAACTCCAAAGAGATTCTTGCCAATTTCTTTTAATGTCTGCACCCCTGTGTCTAGCTGGATGAACATCGCACTGAGCAGAAGAAGTTAAAGCTCCTACAGAAGAAACAGGCACAAATCCAGAAAGAAAAGGACCAGTTGCAGAGTGAACATAGCAGAGCTATCCTCGCTCGGAGCAAACTCGAGAGTCTATGCCGGGAGCTGCAGAGGCACAACAAGACACTGAAGGTATGTGGCACCCTACCTTGGAATGACACACATCCTTGCAGGCCACATAGACACAGGCCTCTGTGACTTGGAGAAAGCATGAGTTACGATCAGAGAGCACTGAGTTCAAAGACTGGTTCTGCCACTTGTTCATTTGTCATCTTCAGTAAGTTATTCTGCCTCCATGAATTGTTTTCTCATCCATAAAATGGAGGTTATCCTGGAACCACTGTGTGGTCAGAAAGGAAGAACTTTATTAGATTCCATGTTACAGTGCCTACCTAATACTGATCATAGCCCAGGATCTTAGTAAAGAGAATGTCATGTACCTTTCCTTCTTGCTAGGTTGAGTTTTATGGTTTGGTTTGTCTCTTTGCTTTAGGTGGTCCTTAGTTTACCCTTTAAAACATTTGTAAAAAATCAACATTTTGTATTTATAATGAATTCTGCATGGCATGACATAGACACAAAGCTAATTGACATGATAATGTGAGATCAGGAACCAAAATATCAATAATTGTCTGGGGAACAACAAGAGAAACTACTTGAAAAAACACTGAAGCTCTTCAAGACTTAATTATTCAATCTAAAAATAATAGACTGATCACTTCATTAAGTCTGCATGAGTTTCATTAATTACAGCATGGTCCCTAGCAGTGCGGTTAATTTGATTATACACAGACACCAGCTCCATTCAATAAAGCAAGACATGAGATAAGCCTTTTTGCATCCACAGTCCTCTTCCAGTTCTGTATCCCAAAGCTTTGGATGAACAGTAATTAATTAGACAACAATTTTTCTGCAAGGAAGTTATTGCTTGTGTTCACAGGAGATACTTAAAAATAAAGAGACATTAAAACCGTTGCCTACTTTGTACAATGAATTAGAAAGAGGTCAGGAAAAGACAGTAGTTGCTCATACTAAATTGTCTTTTTTAAAAGCATTTTTTAATTTTTTTAAAATTTTATGTGTATGAGTGTATTGCCTGCATGTATGTGAGTGCACCCATGTTGTGCAGTGCCGCGGAGGTCAGAAGAGCGCTTCAGATTCCCCTGTAACTGGAGTTAAGGATGGTTCACAGCCACCATGTGAGTGCTGGGAATCAAACCTGGGTCCTCTGCAAGAACAGCCAGTGCTCTTAGCCTCTGAGCCATCTCTCCAGCCCCAATATCTCTATATTATCAATGAAGAAACTGAATTTAGCAATCCAAATTAGTTGTTCAAGGCCATAAATATTTTAAGTGACAAAATAGTAATTCAAATGCAAGATACTTTCTAATTTATCTTCTGATGGTTTTTAACCCATGGTCCTAGAGTCCATCATATGTATTCTTTCTTGAGAAGTATCCAATGTGTACTTGGAAAGAATACTGCTTAGAGTTGATGCAGCATTGTATAAGTAACAATTATCTTTCAATCCTTTAGTATAATCCCAGTGTAACTGTGGAACTGTCTACTTCTTTCAAATATATCAGTTTTTGTCTGTGTGTTTTAAAGCACTGATGCTAGATTTATACACATTTGTGTTTCATCCCCTTGAATAATTGATGATGTTATCATCATGAACATCCCTTGGTTCATTATTATCCTTTGATTATTATCGTCACTTGATATTTACATTATTTGCTCTAATACTGCCCCTTAAGTTTTCTTACTTTTTTATTTGTTTGCACAGTATATCTCATTTTAGTCACTAATTTTTAGGTCTATAAAATACAGCTCATATATACAAGATGTAGGTATACATTGCTTCTAAATCTGACGATTTTAAATTTTCTGCTTATACAATTTTTAATCCCAGGATTTCCAGTTGTTACTTTTTGTAGATATTTTTACTGTCTGAGATTTCCTCTTTTCAAGTCATTGAGCTAGTATTTTCCTTTACATTGTTAAACGAAGTTGTAATATCTGATGCATCATTTTTTCTGCTGCTTCCACACTGGAGTCAGTACAGAACAAGCTTTCTCTAACTATCTTTTCTTTGGAGAATGGGCTATTTTTAGTTGGTTCTTCTCATGTCACGTCATTGCCAATTATATTCTAGATGCTATGACGATGTAGAGAATCTAGATTCTACTATTGTGCTAATTACCTTCCAACACTGTGATAAAATACCTTAGAGAAATCAACTTATAGGAAGAAAAAGTTATTCTGTTTCACAATTTCAGTCCCTGGTCACTTGGCTTGGCTCTGTTGTTTCTGGGCCAAAGTGAGGCACAGCATCATTGTCAGAAGCAAAGTGACAAAGAATATTGCTCACTTTAGGGTGGGAGGAAGCACAGAGAGCCAGAAAAAGCTTGAGACAAGCTACACCCTTTAAAGTGTGACCCAGTGACCTACTTCCTCCAAGTAGGCCCACTTCCTAGTGACTGGTTCCTCTTTGAAGGCATCAATGGGTTAATCCATTGATGAAGCTAGCACCTTCCCTTCTTGATTCAATCACCTCTCAAAAGTCAATTGTATGGGGACCATGGCTTCAGCACATGAGCTTTTAGAGCATATACTTCATACCTAAACCATAACATCTATAGTCTTCTAAAAATATTAACTGTTCTATTAACCAGTTGATCCAGTTAGATGCAAGCTGCAAAACCTTTGTCTCTTGGTCAGCAGCCCACATTTCAATTCAGTTCTTTTGGTTCTGGGTCAGAGATAAGGGCAGTGTCTCCTCAGAATGTAGGGTTTTCCCTTTCTGACTCTTGGACTTTCCCACCTACCTTTCAGTGGTTATAGTTTCTCACAACTCTGAACTCTCATTCTTCGTATCTGAAAGACATTAGGCTTCCTAGGAAGCTTTACTCATGCCACTCTGTTTTCAAGTGTTCCTACAAGCTAAAATCTGTTTTAAAAAATGAGAAACTTCCATTATACTACATACAAGTGCCAATTTTCCTCTGGTTTGTAGAGTTATCTGTAGAACATTAAACTTGGCATGGCCTTTTTGTCCATGCTGGGAGGACAGCCTCAGCCCCTGAGGCTTAAAGTCTATGCTATAGGAGCCTGAGAAGACATGGAGAAAGAATGTACTGCCAGTTCTCTCCACCACCTTACATTTTAACATTCACTGTTCTTTATTGTTTTCTTCAGAGAGTCAAACACAAATGCAAACCTAACAATTTAGGATAATTTAGAAAAAGACCAGTGAAAGTCTGAGGCAAGTATTTATTTCAGCAAACTACTACAGGTACTTGAAGCAATAAATCTGAGCCTGAAACTATATTGGAAAAGAACTTTCTAGGCCAGCTTGGGTAGGCAGGTCAGGAACACAATTTGGGTAAGGAAATAAGTACTATTTGTTATCAGAATATCACAGACTTTTAATGTGGAAAGGACTATAAGAATTATCCAGTCCAAGCTACTCATGTGTCTGTACACAAGTTAATAATTTATCAATTCATTAAATAAACATTTACCAAATACCTATAGATTGTGTGCCAGGCACAGTGCCAGTTTTAAGATACACATTGATGCTTACAAAGCCATTTATAGGGTTTGTCTCTCAATCTTGTTTGCATTAGTAATTTCCACCTTGTGTAATGCATTTCATTAATAAAATATTTTGCCTCAGACACTGTCTAAGTGATGACAAATTTTCTATCAATGAACTCAATTAACACTTGAGTACACCTATTTTTGTCTAATTAGAAGCTACAAAGCCAGGTTCAGTGGTATTTGGGAGGCTGAGTCAGGAGGATTACAAGTTCAAGGCCACTCTGTGCTAACTAGCAAGGCCTTGTACCCTTCCCCCTATAAGAAATGGAGGGCAGTATAATGCAGAATTTAAGCTGCCATTTTGTGGGCCAGGACTGAGTGCTTGACACATATTCAATAACTTCCTAATACCTCTATTTTGGGGGAGGGGGTAGCCAGGATCTGGGGAAGACTCAGACTTTCTGAAGAATAAAGCGTGCTTCTTTCACTTACCCATTCGCGCATGGTGTCTACAAATACAAGTGGAAGTCGGGTCATGGTCCATAGTCCTATAGTTCAGAATTTGTTGGCTTCTGAGTGTATCAGAGGCAGTGAAGTGACGTCACTACCATAAGTAAGCCCAGTTGCTCTTTAGCTGATAGTTATGACAACTTTTAGCAAAATATTTATGATAAACATTGGTATACAAACTTCAGGGAAATAATATCTTAAATAGTCTTCAGATTAGAAAGCATATCTATCTTTTATAAGTTCCCTAAGAAGTTACAAAATTATAACTCTGATGGCCATATTAACCTTAGGCAATGTGTTAATCTTTTATAGGAAAGATGAAAATGAATGATAAATTGCTTCCAGAGCATATATTTTCTGGATCAGTTTTTATTTTGATCACATTGTTCCATCCTGATAAAGTCTTGTGCAATTACTTCTGCTAAAACAATTATCTCTTTTTAAAAATCCTGTTATATAATTTGAACTTGGTAGGCAACTAAATGCAGTATAATTTCACTTGCCAACAATGAAGCAAGCTTTCATATTAACAATTAATCAGGACTGAAAAGAATCCTAAAATGCCTGTGTCATTTGTCAGCAGTGTAAACGTGTCTATCTTTGGGATAATATACGAAGAGCAAACCTTTTATTCTAAAAGAATGAGATGAATAATCACAAAGCCAATAATTCTCAGCATAGATATAGAGGAAATCTGGGCACATTGTTAGTGGTTAGCAGTGAATGTGGATTTTCGATGTAAGAGAAAAGAGAACAGAAATAATATAAAATCTGATTTCCAATTCTTCAATGTTAACAACTGGTGAGGGGGAAGGGGAATCCGATGTTTCATTTTAAAGTTAAAGACAACGTACTACTTTCTAATTCAAAATTTACAGTTAATATTTCAATTACACCAAGTGACAACATGGAATGATCTTTCCAGAAATAAAATATCCATCATATTTGGAAAGATTTCCTTTTATATTTTTGAATGACTTTTATTAAATATTCCTAATAATGTTTTCTTATTAAAGAAAAGTTTGTATTATCATAACTTAAATTTATAAAATCAGGGAATAAAATTATGTGGTTAATACATCTTGGATTTTATAGAGGAATATTCAATCTATTACTTTTCTTCTTGTACCAAACCAAAAGAACTCATGATCTGCCCCATCACTCAGTAAAGCCTTTTTTCCAGGCCACAGCCAAGAGACTGTGTGACTGCATGTCTGTCAGAGATCACTCTGCGTGTCTGTCAGAAATCACTTCAGTTCATTCACTTGGTAGGCGATTCATAATCTTTAAAACAAGCTTACTGTTACCAAGAGCAGCACCTGCTCAAAGTGACTGCACTCAGCTGAAACCGCTGTTCATACGTTCATTTTGGGATTGGACAACTTTAGTTCTAGAGAACTGAAAAAAAAAATCCCACTTACACTACTCACTAGGCTTGTTTTACTGACCTTATCCTTAGTCCTCTAAATCCTGGGCACCTTTAAGACAGCACAAAATATTTTGCTATTCATCCATAGGAGGAAACTCTCCAACGGGCACGCGAAGAAGAAGAGAAAAGAAAAGACATCACGAGTCATTTCCAGACTACCCTGACGGATATCCAAGCTCAGATAGAGCAGCAGAGTGAGCGAAATATGAAGCTCTGTCAGGAGAACACAGAGCTTGCAGAAAAACTGAAAAGTATCATCGACCAGTATGAGCTCAGAGAGGAGGTAAGAACTACATCAAACAGCTTTGAAGAACTGTATGCAGGTCCAGATCTGGGTTGTGAAGTGAGGGGCCTGGTTAACAGGAAAGTCATGGCCTGCCCTCTCAACCAATTAATAGTTAGGATCGAATTTCTTATACTAGCCAAAATAAGGACATATGGTCCTACAAAATACCTGGCTGAAAGTCGCATGGGATTTCTTCAGAACTGAACTCACTGCAAAAGGAAAGCAGTAAATAGAAAGTAGTAGGCTGTGCGCACAGTTATCCTTAATATTTCTTCATCCTTTAAAAATCCTCTCCATGGGGCGGGGCATGGTGGCGCACGCCTTTAATCCCAGCACTCGCCAAAAAAAAAAAACAAACCCAAAATCCTCTCCATGTAGCCAAAAGATGACTCATGCTCGCCTCATAAGGATCACTGTGTCATCTAAATTAAGAGTCTGTATCCCACAAGCCAATATTAATATTCACAATGTAAACATTATGCCATGGTTTATTTGGTGCTTAGTTTGTGTCAAGTAACGTACTAAGTAATGTTCTTTGCACACAATGTGTCATTTAATTGCCTCAGTGTGTTATCAACCAGAAAATACTCTAGGTATTAGTTAGTTTGCTGCTGTGACCAAGCAAGAAGCAATTTAAGTAAGGAAGGGTTTGTTCTGGCTTACAGTTTGGGACCACTGTTCCATTCAGGCATGAAAGGCAAGGAGGGGAAGGCATGGTGGCAGGAACAGGTGACCAGGTGGTTACACAGCATTATACAGACAGGAAACAGACAGTAATAACTTCTCATGTTCAGCTTGATTTCTCCTTTTTATTCAGTTCAGGACCCCAGTCCATGAAACGGTGCCACCCACAGTTAGGTGAGTCTTCCCACCTCACTTCACCTAAAGGATTTAGATAATCCCTCACAGGTATGCCCAGCAGATTTCCTCTTAGGTGATTCTAGTGCCTAGAATCAAGTTGACAATATCAACCATCACACCACCTTTTCCACATTTTATATACAGAAAGCCTAGGCCTAGAGATCAAATCACTTACAGCCACAAAACCAGGATTTCCATTTTTAGTAGTTTACATGAGTGAGAAAACAAGGGTCTTTTGTTACACTCAAAACTGTATTTCAATACTCAATATGTCCTTAAGGCCCTGGGTGTCCCTCAGGAGTTCAAGCAAATTCTTTTCCTCATCCTACCCAAACTTTACATTGCCTTAAAAGGTAATATAGTAAAGTGGCTGGATGGATAATACACTAAATGTTTAGAGAGAGAGAGAGAAAGAGAGAAGCTGCATATGGTTACAGCAGTTGGATAAATCAGGAAAGTCCTCACAGAAAGCCATAATAATCTTTGCTACCATTTTAGCTTGTCACAAGGATCCATCCCATTTCAGGATGGAGGTGCTGAGTAGAGAAGGAAGGAGCAAAAGGAAAATGTCCAGACTCCAGAGAGCGCTCAGATGAGAGTGGTCTGGGGTCCTAGCTGTGCATTCCTGACATCGGTTCTATTTAAAGCCCAAGGCCAATACTGCACATGGCCCCTTTCTGTTGGGACAGCCTAATAACCAAGATATTCTTCACACTGAAGTAGCTTCTCTTCATCCAAGTCCAGAGATCGAAAGGTGTGGAAGACAGACCATGTGTAACAATCAGTTCATTTATGACCACTGGCTTTGTCATCCCCATCTGTTAGTCATATTTCCTTTGCTGTAAGAAATAACTAATCCACTCAGCTTATAAAGAGAAAATGTTTTCTATCACTCACAGACATGATGGTGAGGAATGTGTGGTGGAGCAAAGCTTCTCTCTTCATGGGAACTGAGAAGTAGGAAAGAGAAAAGAGTGCATGGTGGGGGTGTGTCATTATCTGCCAAAGACTAGAAGGTCTTCCAATAAGCCCTTCCTCTTCAGTTTTCTACCACCTCCCAATAGGGCCAAGCTGGGCACTAAGCATTTACATAGGGGCTTTAGGAGAGGGCATTTCAAATCCAAATTACAGCAGCATCAGAGTTAGGAATTCAGAGCCTCACTCTAATTTTGTGATGCAAAAAGGTTTTATAGTCATGAAAAAAGCCCTAATACCTAGCCATGGTACCATACCAATGTAATAGGAGCATTGTCTGGGATGTTTAGCAAAATGGACATCTAGTGAATGGGTTACTAAACTGAGACAAATCATGTCAATACCGCTAGGCATTACCACTGCTGAACTCTGGTACCACTCCCTTCTGCAGTGACCTCTTCACAGTGCAGAGCGTGGGAGCACTCACCAATGTAAGGATTTAGTAGAAAGCCTTTGGCAATGGCAATACATTTATTCTTCATCTTATAATCTTAAAAAAACTAGAGAATTTTTGTTTGTGTATTATTTTCTAATTTTACATCTTAAGCATTAATAATAAGCCTGGCTTCCTATGTGAACTTTATCTTTCCTTAGCATCTGGACAAAATATTTAAACACAGAGACCTGCAGCAGAAGCTGGTGGATGCGAAACTTGAGCAGGCTCAAGAAATGATGAAGGAAGCCGAGGAGCAACACAAACGAGAAAAGGAATATGTACTTATCTTTTCAGTCGGTGTGCATATGTGGTCCACTTTGGTGTCACAGGCTCTCTAGGAAAGTTGGATGATGGTCAAAGATCACCTTAGTCTCGGATGAAAAGCCGGAGCATCCACAGAGAAGTAAATAGGCCAGTCTAATATGAGGCACTGTGCCTACACTGTTACTCACACAAAATAGTCATTTAACAAATATTTTTCAAGTGCCTATTACCTGCTGAGCACCATTTTAGGTGCTGGAATTAGAGCTGTGAAGATGAGGAGGGCCAGCTCCCACCAGGCAGATTAGAGGCTCAGTGGGAAGGGACAAGCAGCCGCAAGCCAACAAAAGGGTGATTTCAGATAATAGGAAGTCCTCTTAGGAAAATAAGGAGGAAGTGGGAAGGGGCCCAGAGGAAGGGACTTAGATTGGGATGCTTAGGAGGATGCTTGAGCCAAGTCCTGCCCCAGGATGAGCATCCCCAGGGGTCTTCTCCAACATGGCATCTTGTCAGAGACAAGGCCCTGATGTTGGAGCCAGTCTGGCACGCTCCAGACACAGAGAAAGGAAGAACTGAGCAGGTGGACCAAGTGGAAGAAAGGTTCAAAATACACAGGTAAGCAGGGTCCAACTGTGCAACTCATAGGACTTGGAAAGTAGGATGGCTTTTATTCCAAATGTAATAGAAAAGGACTGGGTAGTTTTAGTAAAGGAAGTGACATGAACAGCTTCCCTTGTATAAAAGATTAATGTGGCCCTTGAGTAGAAAATGAACTACATAGGGACAAGAAAATAAGAAGGCACAAGGCTCCCTGAGTGATACACATGAGGGATGATGGGAACTTGAGTGAGGGAAGTAGCCGCTGAGGAGAAGAGATCCAGTCAGGTAAAAGTTATTTCAAGGTAACCAGCAGGCAGACCGAAGATGACACGGAGGAAAAGCAGTTGGTGGTGTCAAGCCTGCCTGCTGAGTTTGGGGTTAAAGAACTGAGTAGTGCCATTTACTGATCTTCTTAGCTCCAAGCAGCCACCCAAAGCAGCAGGACCATTGTACAGATGGCAGAATTGAGACTCAAAGAGGACAAGAAGTTTGTTTAAGGTCACACACTACTAAGAGATTAAGACGTGTTTCAAATCCACATACATCTGTCCCAAAGCCTAAGTGCTCTGTGTCGGTGCAACACAGTTACTGGAGAGAGGGAGGAAGGAGGGAGGGAGGGAGGAAGGGAGGGAGGTTAAGACTAAGAGATTTGTAAGACAGGCCAGTTACCCAAATGTCCCCATTTAACATTTAATCAGAAGCTTTTCCTTTATCTAAAATCAGACCAGAATCACTAATTAGCATAGAAACTGCGAAATAACCAGTTTTCAAACATGGCAGCAAAAAAATGAATTTGGACAATAGAACCTCATAGTTATTGGGTAATTTGATATTAGAAATCCATGTTCTCTTAAGAAAAAGATAAATACAATTAAATCCATCTGCAATTTACCTCTTAAGATATAAAACATTCAGTTATTGAAATATATTGTTGCCATAATTATTCTCCTAGATAAAATGACTCAGGGTATTGGTACACTAACTTAGAATATATGAGACATGGCACAGAGAGAACTGAGCAAAGATGCACATAAGGGAAACTAGAATGCAGATTTGAGGGAATCCAGACTTCAAAAGACACTAGCACCTGCCCCATCTTCCTACCATGGTTCAGCAAAACAACAGAATTTCAACATATATAGGTAGCCCCCTCTGTTGTTGAAGCTGGCTGGTCTGCTTGGCCTATCATAACGACATTTCATTTCTAGATTGGTGAGAGAGCATGTCTGACCTGCGAATTTCTCCATGTAGACAGAATAGTCAGAGGCTGTCTAACAGGCCCTCGCTGTTGGCTCCAAAATCAGAGACCTGCACACCATACCCTCAGACAGCCAAAAGGGCCTATGGGTCTTCGACTCTGCAATGCCCCTGGGCCTCTCATGAGACCACTAGAGTACACTTTACTAATATCTTAAGGTTACTGCACAACTCTTTTGAAATCAACAACTAGAACTCTCCTACGGCACCCTGTAGATGTCCCTTTTATAAAAACCCAAACTCTGAACTCCAAGAATATTCATACCTAAACCAAAGACTGTAGCTATATATCAAAACAGATAAACAAATGAACATATATCTTGAGTTAAAATATTGTGCTTTCAGTTTAACCCATCAGCTCCAAGTTCTGACCATGCCTAACCACAGTGGCTATATGAAAGGTTTTCTTGTGGGAGGGGAACGAGGGCAGAGTTCAGATCAAACTTCTCTGTTTTTCCAAATGTGCTCCGTGGATGACTGATATCCAAACCATCTTCGTACTACTGTAAGCACACATTTCAGCTGTGCCCTATACTTGCTAAATTATATTCTCCGCCTTTTGATGTGCCCCTAAGGAGCTCTAGATGCATGTTGGAAGTGCTGTGTCAGGAACCAGGGACAAAGACGGACTATGTATTTCTTACAGCATCATGCGTGCAACAGTGAGAATATCTCTGTACTAATAAAAAGAAGCAATTGCTGGGAGCTGTGTCTAGCTGGGGATATTCTGTAGATGCTCAAACTAAGGCTGGTGATAGTGGCAGAGGATTGCCACGGAAGCTTCTGGAACGTTTTGGGGTGGTGGGAGGTTGGATTTTTGTGAGTCATACTTTATTTGAATATTTAATTTTGTCATTAAAATCAGTAGTTTGTCATTGGAATTCAAACATTTTAGACTAATTTTATAAACTTTAACTTTCTTCATTTTTATTCCTTGCAAAATTCCCCAAAATAACACTTAAGGGGAGAAGGAACAGCAAGAAAGAGTGTTTCATATGAAAATTATAGACAAATGGCAGTTTATAAGCAATATGACTTCCTTTCTATGCATTCTCTTTTCTCACAGTTGCTGAACCAGGCAGCAGAGTGGAAACTTCAGGCCAAAGTGCTGAAGGAACAGGAAACAGTACTGCAGGCTCAGGTGAAGTGGGGGGATGATGCATGGAGGGACAGGGGCTCGCCTTATAGGTACCAAGGGCTAGAACTAGAGGTGCTCTGCACACAACTTTACATGTGTCAGGGAGTGGAAGGGGTTTAGAAATAAGCAACATCTTCCCATTTATTATTTTAAGTCAAATGAAAGCATAGTATTATGTCTATGAAAAAGAAATGGTCTGCACCAATGCCATCTATCTAAGAGTCTATTGACAAGTGATGGTAAAAATGGTCGGTCACAGGAAGCAGATGTCTAGCTTCCCACTTAGCTGTCATATTTCATTACTCTTACCTGTTCTATTACACACAAAAAAGAAATGTAGACCATTCAGACGACCATTTATAATGGTCAATTCTTTAACGGGCTTCATATTTTGATATTTTTTGTAATCCAGAAAAAGGAAGAAAAACAGAGTCAGCGCCCAAGTTTCTGCACTACTAGAGACTGACCTTGTCAGTGATGGATGACTAGAAGTGGCAAGGAAAGGCAGGAGTCATTGTGATTTGGCTTCATGGTACCACTGGCATTTTGATCAGACTACTAGAGTTCCTGTTTCAGGCTCAAGAATCGAGCCTCCTGCCATAGCTGCCGGGGGCGGGGGGGGGTATCCATCTTCCCCTGCTGCCCTTGGGGCTCTGCCCCTCCTCGAAAACATTCCCTGTCACCATCCTGCCACAAGCCACAGAAGGGCTTTAGTTCTACTGCTGGGAGAAATACCCAAATACTAAAGAGATAGTGAGGTCCCAGAAGGAATTCAGAGAGGGTGAGAGCAGCAGAAGCCTTTCAGGGAGGCCGGCATTAATTTAAGATTTGTAAATATGTATGCACTGACTATAGAATCCTGCTCATTATTTTTTTAAAAAGTATATACTTATTGTATAAATGAGCAATTTCAACAAATACTTTTTTCACTGTAAATAAAGAAGAAACTCAAAATATCAAATCCTATCACAGCACAGACGAAAACACATACAGATAACATCGTCACACCTAGCCTTCCTGAAGCATATTTATACAATGTGTACAGGGAATGCAATGATTAATTGTTTGCCCCAATATAATCTATTCTTTGAAAATATATGAGTTTTCAAACTAATTACATAGAGGTTAGAAGCAATGTTTCTGACTTTTCATAGAATCACAGGGTCTGGAGTTAGAAACTCAAGATCATCTTTGAGGTAAATGCAGAATCCATCACATGTGGTGGGGGGGTAGCAGGGCTGGATCTCTAACTAGTGGACGGTGGGAAGGAGGTGTGACTCTACTGTCTAGGAGCAGAGCGAGCCCAGAGGATCAAGCCAGAGCTTCTGCTCCATCTCTGCCTCACTGACAGCACAGTGCTTGAACAATGGACACTACTTAAAGCTGCACAACATTCTTTTTGTTCTCTACAAGCAAACCTCTTCTTTGCTAAAGGAAGATAATGAACTTGAGAAGAGTAGATTAATATTAGATTCTGACATAGAGAGCAATTCATTCAGCTGCCATCAGAATCTAGTGTGTACATGTTTTTATGTGTGTGTGCGTATATATGTACATGAGCATGTGGATGCCAGAGGTCAATTTCAGTTGTCTTCCTCAATCACTGTCCACCTTATTTTTTAAGACAAGATTTCTCATCAAATCTGGACCTCCCCAAACTTGCCCAAACTAGCTGGCTAGCAAGCCTCAGCAACCTTCCAGTTTCCATCTCCTCGGTGCTTGGATGACAGGTGCACACTGCTTTGCTTGGCTTTTTAAATGTGGGTGCTAGGAATCCAAACTTGGATTCTCATGTTTGCACAGCAAGTGCTTTGGTGACTGGACCATCTCCCTAGTACCAAGAATCTAGGAGTTTAATGATGTGAGAAATATAAATATAAAGATAGAAAGACTATCCAAATTCTCAACTATATCCATTCAATCTTGAAAAATATCTACCACATATTCTAGATCCCTCATTTGCTCCTCACTTCTGGAATGAGTCATATAGCAGGATCAGAGTTCTGGTTTTTCATACAGCGATGCTGTATAACCCTGTCCAACTTACCTAAGCTTCTCTGGACATAAATTTACCTGTAACAGGAAGATGCTATAATGAACCCATGGTCCTTCACTGGACTCGAGAGTGATGGATTCAGGATTTGCTTTCAGGCACTTTAATAGCTGTTGTAGTGGTTAGAATCAGTGTCAGTTCCCTCTCAAAGGCTACTAGATAGGGGGAGAAAACAAATTTAGCCATCATTTTAGAACAATAGCAGGTTGTCTCCCTTAGCTACAGGTGGACACTACAGTTTTGGAGACCAAGATCTGAAGTCTTACATCTGAGCAGCACTTTCTGATTAGGAACAAAATCATCAATGAGAAATAATTGTCTAAATAACTTTTTATATAGACTTAAGCTTAATGTCTGGGAAGTGCGATCCCTTGAATTCTTAAAGAAATACACTGATCACTTTATTCTTTGGTTATACTTTCCTTTTGGGTGTTTAAGACCATACAGTTGGCCCAAATAAATCAGTTTATTTTTACACTTAAGGTCGTTTGAGGATCTGTTCCTCAGGGGTCACATGGGTTTGAGAGGAGCTCCTGGCTCCTTTCTTTTACCAGTTCCTATGTAAAGATAAGCCAAAGGTCCTGCTCCATCATCCAGCCAATCTCTTTTCAGCATCTAATGAATGATAGCATGGTTCTAGATGTTGGTAATATAGTAGTCAGCAGGAGAGAAAAAACTCTCTTACTGGACTCACAATTTAGTAATAATAATGCTAATATTAAATATTTGTTAACACACAAGCTGGTATATGATTCCATAGGGATTATATAAAGAAATAAGAGACAACAGGCGTCTACACTTGCAAAAAAAAAAAAAAGTTTAAGAACCAATGGAAAGCCGGTCATTGTGGCACATGCCTTTAATCCCAGTACTTGGGAGGCAGAGGCAGGCTGATCTCTGTGAGTTTGAGGCCAGCCTGGTCTACAAAGCGAGTTCCAGGCTAGTTGGAGCTACAGGGAGACCCTCAAAAAGACCAACGACAAACCAGTGGAAAAGACAACCTCAAGACCTGCTCAGCTCCAATTTGTGAAGATGGAAAACTTTAATCAGAGTCGAATTAGTGTGACTCTAAGCTTGGGGTTGACCCTGCTTCCCCTTTCCCAGCTTCACTAGTTGCAAGAGCCTCCTTTGTCTTTTGTGTTTATCTCCAAGGCATTTTCAAAACTCCGCTAGTTATTTAGTCAGAAGAAAATAGTTATTTATAAGAAGAAAATAGAGACCCCCAAGTCACTATGTATAATGTTTTTAAAAGTTCCCAGGAAGGATCAGCATTATTACTTTTTAAACTGGGCCACACACACCCATCTACCTGGAAGGCTGAATCAAGAGGTCACTTGAGTTGAGGCAGGAGATCATCTGAGGTCAGCCTGGGCAACATAGAACAAATCTCAAAGAAAAAAAAAAAAAACATTTTAACATTGGAAAGCAAACTCTACTACAGATGATTTTTCATAGTGCTGACATATTTCCCTTGGTTTCAACTGTCTCTTAGGGAGTAGGAGTAGCAGGAAGCCAAGGCCTTGATCTCCCACTAACCCCTAACCGTGAGCATGAAAAATATAGAGAGCAGTTTACATGCTTTCTTAGACTGAAGCCCCTTTTCTGTCTAAGGCTACAGCTGGTGAGTTAGAAACATGTTTCTCACTTAGGGAAGTGATATCTGCCTTTCAATTACATAAACTGAAGCAACAGAGCAGCTGTCAGAGATGATGGGTGGCACGCAATTGTCACGACAAATGGAGTGCTCATCAGATCAATAAGGATGAAGGCAGCAGCAGATGTGGAAAGTCAGCAATATCTGACAGCACAGACACAAAATACCACCCAAGAGGAAAGATCAGTGAGTAAATTGTTCAAAGTATATAATCATGGTCTTTAAACTCGGAAATCCTCTCCTTATCTATACTTGATGAGGGAAAAGCCCTCTGCAACTACTCTTGAAGTAGAACCCACTTCCACACCAAGCCTCACAGGCTTAAGACAGATCAGTCTCTTACTCTCTACAAATGTTTGCAATTAAAATTTGGTACTCAATTAAAAGACTGCATGGGTATTGGTGCTGTGGCTCAGCAAGTGATAGCACTTGCTGTCAAGCCTGATGACCTACATTTGATCCCCAGAACCCATATGATGGAGAAAACTATCTCGTGAAGTTATATTTTGTGCCCCCAACACGCACCCAGTGGTATATGTGTTCCCCCACAAAACACACACAAACCCCTGCAGAAATGGCTCAGTGGTTAAGAGCACTGCCTGCTCTTGCAGAGGACCGGGGTTTGATTCCCAGCACCCACATGGCAGCTAACAACCATCCATAACTCCAGTTCCAGGGGATCTGACACCCTCTTCTGACCTCCTCAGGCACTGCACAACAAAGGAGCACACACATACATGCAGGCAATACACTCACACACATAAAATAAAAACAATAAATAAGAAATGGCTCAGTGGTTAAGAGCACTGCCTGCTCTTGCAGAGGACCGGGGTTTGATTCCCAGCACCCACATGGCAGCTAACAACCATCCATAACTCCAGTTCCAGGGGATCTGACACCCTCTTCTGACCTCCTCAGGCACTGCACAACAAAGGAGCACACACATACATGCAGGCAATACACTCACACACATAAAATAAAAACAATAAATAAAAAAATTTGAAAACACACAAA